TTAGCTGAGTCGCTGTTTTCTTCTCTCTCCGCTGTTACCTCTCGGATCTGGGAGTTTCTATGCTTACTATTTAACTAGCCTTGATGTTCCTGTGTCAGATCCATTCATGGACTAGCGGGGTTGGACTACTTGTCAGATTCTTCAGCTTGCACAGCCGCAGATGTACACCGATCTTATATAATCTGTCCTTGCTCTGCCTCAGCCAGCCCTACCCAGACACGGCCAATGTGACAGTAACAGCAAACCAGGCAGAACCCAAGCCGTCAGAGGCTCCGCCCCTTCAGACTGGACCGCAAGGTGTCCCTCTCCACCTTCGCGAAGCCTTTATTAAGAACTGGTCTTTGTGAACCCAAGCATGGCAGACTTCCAGAAATAGGTTTAATATTTAACCCCAAGGAAGCAAAGGACATAGGGCATGAAATACAGAGTCCTAGGAAGCAAAGAGAGAGTCACACAGTATGAAAGGCAAAGGAAAAAGAGTTGTCAAGTTCTGGAAGGAAAAAAAAAAAGGAGACGATTAAGCCAAGTTCTTTCCCGAAAGTGTCCTTATTTTGCTGGCTGCGTGGTCAGATACTCCCAGCAAGCAGCAGCCTGCGCTTCCACTTTCTGACCACAGAAAGCAAAGCGTGCGTGAACAGAAGCCCTGGGCGGCAGTGCGGCTTACGTCATCTCAGCATGAATCTCCAACACCTCCAGACTCGGAGGCCACCCCCGGAAGAATGATGTCTCAACTAAAGTGTGTTCAGTACAAGCAACTTCTCTGTAATCAAGACAAATTCCCCGAAGTGTCCAGAGACTATAGCTGTAGGATACGGCACCTGTACACATGTTAATTATTTTATTGCTTTTCTAAGAGGCCGTAAAACTCCTCGGAGTCTGACGGAGCAGGAAATAGATGCGCCCTGCACCTTGCGAAATTATTTTACATGGGACTTTAAAGTATTTGTTTAGTGTGTGTATATGTGTGTGGGTGCACCCGTGTCACAATGCCGGTGTGTATGAAGGTCAGAGGACAACCGCAGTGGCTTCTCTCCTTCTACCACGTGGGTTTTATGGGGGGTGAGGGGGATCAAAACCAGTTGCCAGGTGTCAAGTTGGGAGCGTAGGCGCCTGCCCCTCGCATCTATCCCAGCCCCCAGGTCTGGTCTGGACTCAAAATCCCAGCAGGCCAGGTCCTGACCCCTCCCTGGGAGTGGGGTCAGGACCACTTCCAACTTGACACTAGGGTTGGCAGCCAGGCTCTTTGGTGGCTGAGTTACCTCACTAACCCCGCATTTTAAGTTTTAAAGGTTCCATTCGGTTAGTTATCTCCACGTACTTTTCAGTTTTAGCCGATTAAGATTTGAATTCCGGCAACATGGTGGTGGCCTGCCTGCAATCCCAGTATGTGGCATGCAGAAGGAGCAGGGGGAGTCAGGGGTTCATCTTCGGCCTCACAGCAATTTTGAGGCCTGCCTGGGTTACATGAGAACCCATCTAAAACAATAGCAACAGCAACAACAAAAAACCAACGACAACAGGGGCCGGAGTGATGACTCAGCTTTTAGAGCGCTTGTTACTCTTATAAAGGACCTAGGTTCCTTTCCCAGCATCCACAGGGTGGCTCACTGTAGCACACCACGCCCACTTGCGCTCTATGCGCTACCATACAGCTCGTGAACCCGGCAAGGGGCTGGAGATTGAAACACACAAAGACACACAGACAAAGACATGGGTCATCCTTGATGCCAGAATGCCCCGTTATTGTGTCTAGGGGCAGCTTATATAGGGATCCATAACTGATAGCCACGCCACAGCCAAACGCGCCGGAAACCACTTCCCTGCCATCAGGAACTCCTGAGGGTTTCATGCTCAGAGCAGCTGCAAGCACAGGAAAACAAGCTGCTTACCAGAAATTCAGGATCACAGCGGTTGGGGTTCACAGCTCCCAACAGCTAACAACTGTCTCAAACTTCAGTTCCAGGGAGATCCAGTGCCTTCGTCCAGTGCCTTCTTTCAACCTCTTGGGGCATCAGGCACGCAGGCAAAACATTTGTACACATAAGAATGAAATTTCAAAGTCTGAAATAACTAAAAACAACAGCTTTAAAAAAACCTCTATAGTTCAAAAGAAGTATACCAAAAATACTAATATAATTGCCTAATATTTTAAACATTTTGAACAATGAAAATTTTAAAGCTGCCAAAATCCTGTGTGTTGATGGTTAAGACACTTAAATACAACCCCCTCTGGACAGGCGCTTTGGAGTATATACTGCTGAATTTCTATTATATGTCTCTCTTCTCTCAATGCCTGTGCTTACCTATGTTAAAGCCTTTTTTTTTTCTGTGTGTATGTGTGTGCATTTGCATTCATGTGCACATGTGTGTACAGGGGCCAGCAGAGGTCAGAGGTCAAGCTCAGGTGCTGTTCTTCAGGATCCACCGTCTTTGCTTTGTTAGACTGGTCCCTCTCTTGACTGGAACCAGCCACACAGATCAGGCTGGCTGAGGCAGGGAACCCCAGGGATCTGCCTGCCTCTGCTTCCCAGCAATAATCCAAGCATCGGTTTCACTGCTATAAGATTACAAGCACGGGCCACTGTGCCTTGGCTCAGGTGCTGATCCTTATATGACAAAGAACTTTAAAATAAAAATAAATAAACTCCAACTCTGTTTTGTACTGAATTATCCAGAAATTCTTTTCTGCATTCTAAAAATCCCAGCTTTCCACTAAGTTGAGGTCTCTGAAAGACACAACATAAACAATGCCTAGACAGCCCTTGGGCTATAGCTCTGTTCCCAGTCACACTTGGAAGGCCTATTGACTGGAGAATAGATCATTTGTGATCAGAAATGTATAAATTTGCAAAAAGTAAAATAAAATAAGATAAATGAGTCTAAAAAGCTTGGGAAAACGTTTGATACCAGATAAAAAACCTAGTAAATCCTGGAATATTACACCAAACCTGATGACCTTAAAATAAAGATCATTAACCAGGTGGTGGTGGCCCATGTCTTTAATCCCCGGGAGGCAGAGGCAGGAGTATCTCTGAGTTTGAGGCCAGCCTGGTTTACAGAGTGAGTTCCAGGACAGGCTTCAAAACTACAGAGAAACCCTACCTTGAAAAAAACCAAAAATCAAACCAAAACAAAACAAAAGAAAACAAACAAAAAACAAAACAACCCCCACCACCACCAAACTAAAGAAGACAAAACAAAATATAAATTCCATACTCACCCCTGTGTGTTCTTTAGATAAGGGATGAGAAAATAGTTCAATGGAAATTACTAGAATAATGCAACAAAGTAAAACAATGTATACTGCGTACGGTCAACATTCTTGAGCCGGGCAGGGCTTTACACCATTTTGACACTTCTACTTTCTTTTTCGCTCTTGCTGGCAACCCCTGTGGGCCTCTAACTTCATGGCAAACATTCCACTCAACCTCAGCGTCCTGGAATACAGGCTTGAGCCAACGTGCCCAGACACGTGATTCTGTAATACCTGATCCGTGGAGTAAAGACTTCTAGGAGACAGGTCTACAGGTGAGCTTTGAAGGGTGAGACAGAGGATGCAGAGCCACGCCTCCAGCGTTCCTAGAGGATGCAGGGCCACGCCTCCAGCGTTCCTAGAGGATACAGGGCCACGCCTCCAGCGGTCCTAGAGGATGCAGGGCCACGCCCCCAGCGTTCCTAGAGGATGCAGGGCCACGCCCCCAGTGTTCCTAGAGGATGCAGGGCCATGCCCCCAGTGTTCCTAGAGGATGCAAGGCCACGCCTCCAGCGTTCCAAGTGACCACATTCAGGGCCTAACACCAGAGTCTTCAGTAAAATTTCTTGAATGAATGAATGAATGAGTAAATGAAGTATATAAGTGACAGAAAAATCTAACGTCTTTTGGTTGACTTCTCATTGTATCTGAAAAGTCACTCTCCCCGACACCTGTACTTAATTCCCCAACACAGAATTATGTATTTATCAGCTGACTAAGAAAAATACATAGTAAATTAGAAGCACAACGTGACACCCGCCAAAAATGACCTTCCCAATCTTAAGTTCCCCTAGAAAGATTGAAGATTTTGAAGACTGAGTAGAACTTCATGATTATGAAGTCAAAATATTACAATTTCTGGATCAGAATTATCCTGGACTTTCTTTAGCCACATTAGTAGCCATTTATCCTGACTCTTTGTATCTGATCCTCCATCCTTTCGTAAAATTAAAAAAAAAAAATGTTTATTTTGTCTGCACCCCAGAAGCGGGCATTAGATCCCATGGGACTATAGCTTTAGATGGTTGTGAGCCAATATATGTATGGATGCTGGAATTGAACTCAGGACCTCTGGGACAACAGCGGTGCTCTTAACTCCTGAGCTATCTCTCCAGCTTCTGATTTTCCATCCCACAGTGTTCGGTAAAAACTGTGGAATGTAACCAACCCCCAAGCTAAGAATATCACCAAGTGGATGAGATCAGTTCCCTGCTTTATTATAACCTATAAATGTCTGCCTGATATTCAGATCAAAGTCCTGAGTAAAGCTTATGTCTTTTTCAAGGTTTATTTTGTGGTCCTGAGTATATATGCACACACACATGCATGCACACATGCACACACACACACACACACACACACACACACACAAAATACACCCATGTGTGCATGAGTGTTCCTTGTGCAGGCACCTACAGAGGCCAGAAGCAGACTTGGGATCCCTAGAAACTACAGTTAGATGTGGTTGTCGGCTGCCTAGTGTGGACGTGTCACTCATAACTCGATCAGAATAAATTCTCTTATTCCCTCAGGAGGACAATAGGGGCCGGTGGGTGAGCATCAGGCAGGTGAGAGGAAGCTTGGTAATGCAGTTTTCCTCCAGAAGACCTGCAGAGAATGCCTATCACAAGGGGCCTCAGGGTCCTTTACCAAGTCAATTTAGATATTCAGCTTGAAGTGCAGCCCGTTCTTTGGGCAAAAAGTGGCCAATTTGTTTCGAAAGACAGAAAACGCCAAACCTTTAAAGTCATTTTTAATGCAACATTTATTTCATGCTATGCCCTTGTGTTTTCACACAATCATTTTAAGAATTACAGTACAGATTTAATAAAGATAGCAAACCACGCTCATCAAATTTTAAAATAAAGCTATATATTAAGCATTTTAAAACTCATTGAACAATCCTTTATGTGATCTTTGACAGTGAACTTTATTTTGGCACACAGCTCTTTTGTCCTTTGGGGACTGCAGCTGAAGAAATCTACATTCCACCTGAAGTTCAGGTGACAGAAAATCACGACGGATGGTAACAACCAATTTCACCCAGCCAGCCACATCAAAGTGGCCTGGAGTTATCTGCTCATTTATAGGCAAAGAAAAACAGACTTCTCAGCAGCTTGCGGAGAATAGCCAGTACCGACAGTTTAAAGCAGGCCTCGGGAGTGGATCATCTCCCCCGGACCATTGACGGGAAAGTTTAGAAACTCAAGACTCCTGTTTGAATGGAAAGCAGCGATATTCTTAACCTTGGTGTCTGTCCTTCCAAAGGAAGCCAGCTGTCACCACGGTGTAAAGTCCGTCACAGCACATTTAGGCGACGACGGCTCATCTTCCTCATCTTAACTACGGTCTCTCGGCCTTGGCCTTAGTTATTATGTCTTTTAGGTATCACATGTAGTCCAGGCTGGCCTTGGATATGGTGATCCTTCTGCTTCTGCAGTGCTGGGATCCTTCTGCTTCTGCAGTGCTGGGATCAGAGTACGGTGAGTATCCTAGGCCTGATAAATTATTCTTTAAATAGGGTCTCTGTGTGAGCCCAGGATGGCCTAAAACTCCCTTCTCCAACATGAGTCTTCTCCTTGCTATGGGCCACCACACCTAGCTGTAATTAAACCTCAGGAGGCAGAAACGGACCAAAGGACAAGGGTGGTTTTCATTTCGACAGAAGATGGCCTTCTTATTTGTACATACAGTGCTAATTACGGAACAAAAACTGTCTTCCTTCCCATCATTAAAACATAAAGCGTTGCACACAGACATCTAAAAAAAAAGTTTAGAATATTTTGTCTAGTTTTGTTTTGTAGACAAAGTCTCTGTATCCCAGGCTGGCCTTAAGCTTATGGCAACCCCCCTGCCTCAGCTTCCCAAATGTTGGGATTATAGGTGTGAGTCATCATGCCTGGCTTTGAAAATATCTCTTTTTTCAGGGAACAAGAAGGAAAGCGTCCAATGTGCGCAGGTAAAAGTTATCTCAGGCAGTGGGTGTCATTTCCTCTTTGAAGATCACAGACACACAAGTACACATGAAGACCAAAATCATTGAAAACAGGCATGGGTAGCTCAGGCTTGTAATTCTAGTCCTCAGGAGGCTGAAGCAGGAGAATGGCTGAGTTTGAGACTAGCCTGTGCGATATAGTACATTCCCAGCCAACATGGCCTACAAACAGAATAAGACCCTTGTATCTGAAACAAACAAACAACAATCAAAGATGATATTCCCTTCCCTTCCCAGACACCAGGGACTGCTATTGTTTTTTGAGTAAATCATGCCATAGGCCTGTTTCAGCTGCAGAAGGTTCTACTGCAACAGGGCTGGATGGCAGGAGACTCAGAAGGCATGCAGCTCAAACTCCTACCTGACAAGTTCCATGAGTTTGGGTATAGCACAAGACCGTTCTATACCTCATTTGTTAGTCAAATGAGATGATTAGACTGTGTTCTACATAGCACACGGCACTAACATTTTAGGTCTATGGACTCTAAAAAAAATCATTAGAAATCGGACTTCACTGATACTCCCACCCAATTGTTGGATATGAATTTGCACCCAGAGAGCCTAAAGCTTTCAATAACTATCTTCAACGAGCGATGACTTCTTTTTTGCATTTACTTTTAGAGATTTGAAAGTGGCCAAAAATTCTATGCAAGTCTTCTCATAAAAGATGGTGTCTATTTCCCCACTGGAATTCTCCTGGATTCTGGGCTAGTTTTATTTTTTTAATTTAAAGATTGATTTATCTTAATTGTGTGTATATGGATGTTTTGCATGCATGTAAGGTTGTACGGACCCCCTAGAACTATAGTTACACCAGTTGTGAGACGTTATGCAGTGCTAACGTCTTTTGCTTTTTTGTTTTTGTTTTTTTGATGACAGCGTTTCTCTGTGTAGCCCCTGGCTGTCCTGGAACTCACTTTGTAGACCAGGCTGGCCTCAAACTCATTGAGATCCGCCTGCCTCTGCCTCCCAAGTGCTGGGGTTAATGGCATGTGCCACCGCTGCTCAGCCACAACCAGACACTGCACTATCTCTCCAACCTAGAGCTAGTTTTACGAATTGCTTTGGTTCTCAAAACCATGTGAACCATTTTGGGGTTTTCAATTTTTAATCCAAAGAAAAGAAGGCTGTAGATTCTTTCTAGATTACTTGGGGTTACATGACCCGGAACTGTGGCAATTCAACTTGGAACAAAGGCAGCCTGGAGACAACATACATGAAGCCTTGTGTATTAGACAGATATCTGTGTCTATAACAAGGTACGTCTGACAATCAACTGGTAAAGAGAAAGTGTCGAGAGCCACCTTGTTGGGGCGACTCCCCAGATTTGGCCCACATTTTTGGGTCCCGACAAGAAAGGGGTTATTTTGATTCATAGGGTTTGAGGTTTAAGCCCATGACTAATTGACCTCATTGAGGCCTATGGTGAGTTAGTGCATTGTGTGGGAGCAATGGTGGAACCAAACTGCTCAGTCATCTCATGGTCAAGAAGTAAAGAAAAAAAAAAAAAAGAGAAAGGGCTGGGGCCCCACAGTTCTGCTGGCAAACCCCCAGGTACCTGTGGTTCTCTCATGAGGTCCTACCACTTCCTTAGATGTCTTAGACAGTATCTAATATGACCCAGCTTGGCCTCCAACGTGTTCTGTTACCAAGGCTGTCATTGAACTCCTGATCCTCCTGCCTCTACCTCCCAAAGGCTGAGAGCTGGGCAACGACACTGTAAATGCCATTTTGCTCTCATAGAGGTTTGGATGGGATTTACGGGTCTGAGGGCATTTAGAGAACGTAAGGAAGGAAATCTTTGGGGACCTGGCAAAGATTTCTCTAAGGAGATGAGACATCTAAAGAAAGTAATGAGAATAATTTCTCCTGGGCAAAGAGGGGAGAAATAACATCCTAGAAATAAGATACCATGTATGCAAACATGGAGGAAAAAAAGGTCCTGGGGGCCATTGGAGTGTCTATATTCACTAATTATATCACTAATTATTATGAGGCTGTGTGTGTGTGTGTGTGTGTGTGAGAGAGAGAGAGAGAGAGAGAGAGAGAGAGAGAGAGAGAGAGAGAGAGAGAAAGAGAGAGAGAGAGACACCTCAATTCCTCAATTCACGGTCAAAAGATATTTGCTGAAATAGCAAATGTCCTTTGGCACTTGGCCTTTAAACTGGGGATGAGAAGAACCAAGTAAAACAGTTAAAGTATTCTTTGCTCCCTCCCTGATGGCTAGAAGGAGAGGCTGTGTGGAGTACAGAGAGGTGCTTCCACGGTGTTCAGTTTGGCTAAAGGGAAATTATAGGATCTAGGGTTCAAGACAAACAGCATTCGCAGGTAAGTAGCAAGAAGAATACAGTACCCCACACACATCCTTTCCTCTTCTGACAGTCCAGAAACACCTAAGACAGAAAACAGCTGAGACTCCTTTGTTGGGGTTTTAATGCTATCCGAGTGCAGGGCTGTGAGCCTGTAATCTCACTTAGGAAGTGGAGGAGCAGGAGCTTGACACTGTCTCAAAACAACAAACAGAAATGAAAGCCACGTGGTAAGGTTTTCTACAGAGTTGCTGGGCTGTTTTGAGCATATGATGAACCAACCTGTGTTATGAGTCGGTTTCTTCATCTATAAAATAGGTGATGATGGTATTGACCTCTCAGGCCAATAAAAACAAACAAACAAACAAACACCCATGGAGTCTTCAGGAAGCCTGGAGTGAGCATTGAATATAAGACCTCTAAATAGGAAGTCTGGGGCAGTCAGGCAAAGGGGCTTTAGCATCGGAGAAACGGGCTATGGTTATCACAGCTGCTTGAACGTAGAGAACATTATCGAATCTCCTCAGTCCTAGTCTCCCCATCTAAAAATGAGGGTGATAACAGCTATCTTAAAAGGCTGGGACAGGGAATGAGGAGAGCACAGACATTAAATGCCACAGCAGAGAGCCTTGCTCATAGCATAAGTGCACACACGCGGCATATTTTTCAGACACAGATGGGTAATCTTAGTGTCAGCTATCCCATAGCGCTTCCAAATTCAACTTTCTTACCAAATCTAGAAAAGTTAGATTAGCATATATGTGCTAATAAAATGCATTCCACCAGTACCAATACATGATGATCACCTCCCACTAAGAAATTACTGAGGTATAACAATTATTTTGTTAATGCATAATAAGAAAGCAGCCTCTCTGTTCAAAATTTAGTATGTAAAGTGACTCTCTCACTTGGTACTTTGAGGACTATCCTCTTCATACCAATACCCTGAATGCATCCCCCCCGCCCCTCCTGGTATTTTTGAGACAGGCTCTCCTATATCTCGGGTTCACTTTGAACACCTGATCTTCCTGCCTCCACTTCCTGGGTGCTGCAATTACAGACACTGGCTACCATGTCTGGTTCTGAGGGAGTCTTTTCTAGATCAAGGAAACATGCACAAGGCAGATGAAGAATTCCAACACATGACGGAGTCGGCAGTGGCAAGCAGACCTCTAAAGGAGCAGCACATCCCATGACATTAGAAGGCTTGCAAAAATCCAGGCTAAGAAGGTTTTTTTGAATTTCAACTTTGTTGCACTGGAGCCGAATCCCTTAAAAGCGGACGACTGCAAAGTGCAATCTCAGCAGAGGTTTGACTTTGAGTCTTCATTGGGCGTGGACAGACCTCTTTGCTTTCACACCCAGAAGACTTCAAATGAACCCCAGAAAGTCACTGGAGCCGACTCATGGGGCGAAAGCCCTCGGGCCCAAAGAGAACAGGGGGTCACGTTGCTGTGGGCATCATCTCCTTGCCGATCCCCACCACCAGTGGCACAGAGGTTTGTTTATTTTTTTAACCTCATGCCATACCTGAAACAGGTTAAGCTGAAAATTGGTGATAAAGGCAGAAATTAAACAGAAGTCAGTGGCCAGGGGATACCTAGCAAGCCCCACCACCCCAGTAAGAAGATTTAAACAAAGAGGAAAAAGTTACTCTGTGATGATGGCTTAAGAACCTTGGTGGAAATTCTCGTTAGCCGGTCACATTCCTAGGGAGGTTGCTTTCATTCTAAGATGGTGAAATCTAGGCTTATTTAACAGCCTCAGGCTAATTTTGGTGAAAAACCTTTTTTTACTAACGTGGGGTCTCACTATGTTGCCCAGGCTGGCTCAACCACCAGAATTCAAGCGATTCTCCTCTTGCCCCCGTGCCCCAAGTATTCAGGGACTGCAGGCGCTGTTTCATTATCCCTGCCACCAAGGAACAATGGAAATGATGTATCATTCTTCTGAAAATGGCATTTTTCCCACGTTGCTATTTCAGCAACTTTCTGCAACCATGAAAACCAATGATCGAGGACTACGGACTGGGTTCTAGTAAGGCAATCCCACCCCAAGGGGAAGTTGCTTGGCTATTGTCATCTACATTGGCACGAGCTCATGTGTGTGCATGCGCGTGTGAGCACACACCGTTTCTGAGAGGGGCACTCACACTGTGAGCTGAGACTGGCCTTGAACAGGCAGCATTGCTCCTGCCATGGCCTCCTGAGCGCTGGGATTATAGACCTGAGCCACCACACCCCCTGCTGTGGTGTTTTTTTTTTTTTTAAAGATGTGTTACCCAGTCCTTCCACATTCAAACACTGCATGAAATTCAAGGTGTGCATGGACAGAGAAAAGATCTGCACGTCCCAATTATCCATTTGTCTGGCTGTCTTGTTGTGTCATTGCCGTGTGGTCCTGGGACAGGGCACCAGCAGGGACATCTGTGTGCTCAGCAGTCTAACTCCTCCATGACTTCCATGACAATGGTCCGTGGGCCCGTCAGAATCAGGTTGCTCACGGTGCGGTAGTCTACATTCAGCACGTTGAGCCCGTTGACAGAGACAACGAACTGGCAGACCTGGAGGGGTGATGGAAGGAAAGAATGTCGGTTGGAGTTGGGGTGAAGCTCAGTGAATAAAGCGCCTGCCCGGTATGCCCATCATCCCAGCATTTGAGGGGTAGAGGAAGGTTCAGCATGGTTATTCTAGGCTATATAAAAAGGTTAACCTGGGGTAAATGAGATCCTGTCAGACCCACGCACGCACATGTGTGGGCGCGCACACACCATTTTTTCACAGACCTAGTGTGTGGCCCAAACATTATTCTTAAAACAGTCAAGCCTGCCGGGCTGTGGTTGTGCACACCTTTAATCCCAGCACTTGGGAGGGAGAGGCAGGTGGATCTCTGTGCGGTCAAGTTCAAGGCCAGCCTGGTCTACAAGGGCTAGTTCCAGGATAGGCACCAAAGCTACAGAAAAACTTTGTCTCAAAGGAAAAAAAAAATACCCCAGGAAACCAAACCAAACCAAATAAACAAAAAACAGCCAAGCCCAATCAGCTAGCTACTCTGATGCAATAAATTCTAAAAGGACACACTTTTTTCCTACAGGATAGGACAGAAAAAGCACCTATTTGGGAATTTTACAAACATTGGGCTTAAATCCTAACTCTGAATCTTCTTAGCTTAATCTGGTTATTGATATTCCGAAGCTTATTTCCATCTGTTGTATGGCAGTTGCCTCACATGACTGTTGCAGGAGTTAGGGCAGATAGAGCACAGAGGCTTCTGTTACAGTGGGCCAGCCTATGGGGATTCACAGTCTTGGCAGTGTGCTTATGGCTGTAATTATTCGTATGGATATGGTAGGCATTATCTCCTCCTCCTCTTCTTCTTTTTTGTTTTTCCAGACAGGGTTTACTCTGTGTAGCTCTGAACTCTGTCCTGAAACTCACTCTGTAGGCCAGGCTGTCCTCGAACTCACAGAGGATCCACCTGCATCTGCCCGACCAGCCCAGTGCCGGGATTAAAGGCGTGCACCACCACTACCACTACCCTTTCCCTCCCCTTCTACAAGATTGTTAGCAGTGCCTCCTTTCACTCACCAAAGTGTCTGGCTAATGACATGGCTCCCTGTTTCCTTGGGAACATGGAGAAGCCCGTGGAAATTAGTATATCATTCAACTCTAAACACCACTTGCACACTGGCTGGTCAGCCAGTCCAGCCCGAAACGGTTCTGTGAGAAATCCTGTCTCAAAAATGATGTGCAGAGTAACAGAGGAAGGTACTTGCTGCCGCCCTCCAGCTCCCTTATGCACTTATACTAAGTAGAGTGTACACGCATGCACACACACACACACACACACACACACAGAGAGAGAGAGAGAGAGAGAGAGAGAGAGAGAGAGAAAGAGAGAGAGAGACTGACACAGGCAGAGAGAGCAGATAAAGAAGAAAAAGAGGGATGCTCAGGTTTTAAAGTGTCCACCATCCAGGCAGGAGGATCAGAGTCTAGATTCCCAGGAATCCATGTGCAGTGGTTTCAATAACAATGGCACCCATAGGCTCATACATTTGAATGCTCAGTCACCAGGGACTGACACTGTTTAAAAGGATTAGAAGGATTAGGAGGTGTAGCCTCATTGGGAGAAGTGTGTCACTAGGGTGGGATCTGAGATTTCAAAGGTTCCCAAGCAAGGACCAGTGCTGCGCTCTCTCTCTCTCTCTCTCTCTCTCTCTCTCTCTCTCTCTCTCTCTCTGCCTGTGAACCTGGATGTAGCCAGCAGCTAATGCTCCAGGGCTATGTGTGCTGCCATATTGGATTTCTATCTGAAACTGTAAGCAATCCCTCGATTAAATGCTTTCTTTTATAACAGTTGCCTTGGTCATGGTGTCTCTTTGCAGCAACAGAACAATGCCTAAGACATCATGTAAATACAAGAGGGGTGTGGCAGCTCATCTCTAACTCCAGCACTTGGAAGGAGACACAGGGATTCCTGAAACAAGCTGGCTAGCAGGACGAGCCATGTCAGTGAGTTCTGGGTTCCCTCAATGAGTAGGGTGGAGAATGACTGAAATAGACTCCTGACGTCAACTGTGGGTCTTCACAGGCACACGTAAGAGTACACACACAGACAGACAGACACATATACACACAAGGGAACAAAAAGGAGGAAGGCAAAAGCCAGTGAGTGGGAGGAAGGGGAAGGAGTGAGAGAGAAGCAGAGGGGAAGTAGATCCCTTGGTTGAAATTATTAGGGTCTGCCATCTCAAGTCTGTAAATGAACTGCCTGGACAGTTAACATGTAGGCCTGTGAGAGATATAAATTAACTCTGTGTTGAAAACTCAACATATGGTTTGAGAACTACCCAAACCTTTGGAAACCCACCATTTCCTTTTATATTGATTTCTGACTGTAGTATGAACGGTGGGCTGCTTCTCGCCGCCTGTACAGCTAGCTTTACCCAAAATAATTACACGGAAACTGTATTAATTTAAACACTGCTTGGCCCATTAGTTTCAGCCTCTTATTGGCTAACTCTCACATCTTGATTAACCCATTTCTAATAATCTGTGTAGTACCACGAGGTGGTGGCTTACCGGGAAGGATTCTAACCTGCGTCTGTCTCGGAGAGGAGAGACATGGCGACTGCCTCATTGCCTTCTTCCCAGCATTCTGTTCTGTCTACTCCTCCCACCTATGTTCTGACCTATCAGGCCAAGCAGTTTATTAATTAACCAATGAAAGCAATACCTACATCATCTGACAAAGTAATATCAATATAAACTTAAAATCAAGTCCCAAAGTAGCTACATCTATTGCCTCTACAGACTCAAGTCGGAAAACATCAGAATCGTAACTTGGTTTCTGATTAAAAAAAAAAGTTATAGGATTTGGAATCCTAAAATAGGGATTTATGACCTATGTCCCTTTGATGAGGACCTCAATTAAAGTAGGTCACTTCTTCTCTTATCTATCATGTGTTTCATAATATAAAGAAGCCTTATTTGGAGCTGGGGATATAGCTCAGTTGGTAGAGCACTTGCCTCACATGTATAGAGCCGAAGGCTTGATCCCCAGGACGGTACAAGTTTCAGGTGTGCTAATGTGTATATATATCACCAGCATCTGGGAAGTGGAGGCTGGAGGGTCAGAAGTGAAACATTAACCTTGGCTGGTTAGAGGCCAGCCTGGGCTACATCAGACTTGGTTTCAATAAATAAATAAATAAATAAATAAATAAATAAATAAATAAATAAAT